TCAAAATAACTAATATCCGAAATTCGCATTTAAATGAAATGTTTAATATTTTATTATTGGATAATAGTATTTTTAAAAAAAAAAATGATTTAGATATTGCTCAAAGTCTTATCTATTGTTTTATGTAAATGATTTGCCTTAAACAGCTAAAAAGAAATAATTCAAGGCGTATTCCTACATCGCAGCTTTTTTGAAAGTCATAAATTCTTTGGCATTTCAACCAATCTCTGATACTTAATTCAAACAATACTTGTCAATTTTAGTGCTAAAAATTTCTAGTATGCAACTCTGGACCATAATTTGCGGAAAAAAAGGAAATAAAACATACATATTGACGATTTAGTATATATGTTTTAAGGAAAAACGCAATACTTCAGAGTTTAAGGAATAAAAATAAATCAATCATTATAGTGAAGATCAACCATTTGGCTGAACTATGGCAAGCAGAAAAAAACTGCTTTTAAAATTACATTACAAAAGCATTGTTTTTCAGAATGCCTGTAGGATGCTATATTAAACAAAATTATGCACTTAATTTTTAAGTACTCTTTTTACTGTACTCGCAATTTTTAAAGAGGATCTATTAAAAATCACTCCTAAAATATAATTAACAGAAGAACCGCAATGAGATACTCAAACCGTTGGAATATTGGAAATTGTGAAGTTCACGATTTTTTGTCGGAAAAGTGTTTGGTTGACGTAGTGAAGAAAGGTACCGTAAATAGGAGAGGGCTAGAAAGTTAATACATAATTAACATTCTATATGATTTCTTTCAAAGTTTAATTTAATCTCATTAGCTTAAAACTAAAACTAATGAACATAACGACTAATCATGCTTAAATTAAGTTCATAATAACTAAGTGAAAAAAATACGTTTAATGGTGTAATTAATACTGTATTTATATTAGGATTCATTGGCAGGTCTATTAATATTACTGTAATATATTTTTAATTTATGTTCTCTTGTCGAATTCAATTTTCTGCATTTTCTTGTTCTTCAGAGGCACAACAGCCTTGGGTGGGCCATAGTCTTCTCAAGAAGTCTTTTACAGGCTTCTCTCCATTTCGTGACTATCCTCCAATTTTTGGTTTTCAGGATGTTCATGTCTTTTTTGAAACAGTCGATCCATCTGTGGCTAGGTCTGCCTCTTCGTTTAGTTCCTACAGGCTAGATTAAAAATAGTGTTTGGCAGCTTCGATCTTTCTACATTTAACCAGATGTCCAACCCATCTTATGAGTTATATTTTCAAGTATTTCACGACATCAGGTTCTTTAAAAGATTTTATAAAATTCTAAATAAACACTCCTTCGTCATAAGCCGTTTACTTGAGCTCTACCTCAGATATTTCTTATGACTTTTCTCTCGAAAATCGCCAAAGCCTCCTCATCTCTCAAAGGTTAATGCCCATGTCTAAGATGGTTTCTGACAAATTGTAAAAGATAAAATTTTCATTTTAAAGAAAAAGTAACCCCTTCTAAAAGTCACATCTATTAATCTATTTTTTGATGAATTAATAAGGAAGAAAAAAAGTTTTTTTTTAAATGTAGATAAGTAAATAGTTTATTTTTCGAATCAAACAGAAAAGGGCTTATTTTTTTCCCTTGTGTTTTCGATTAAGTTAAAGCTAGTTTTGAATTAATGTTAGTAAATTATTGGGGATTTTCAAAACTTTATGCAATTTTTGATAAGTGATTTTTTTTTTTTTTTGGTTTTTTATTACTGGGCTAGACATTGTTTTTGCAACGTCAAAGAAGGAATGTCAGAGTTTTCCAAAAAAATAAAATAAAAATAAGAAGCTTTATATGAGAATCCAAAAACTAATTTCGATTCGTACCACAGTGCTGACGAAAAATAATCTCAGTGGCAGACAAATCATGGATTAGAGTCTCTTTGCTCTTGGGCTAATCGAATGAGACTTCTGAAGGTTTTCTTCACCGTTTAACGCGAATTAGTTTTGCTAAAAATATTCTATATGAAGAAGAGTATGTTCCACTGTCTGTTTCAAGAGTTTTCCTGTCCCTAGATTGAGTTTAAAACTAAAATACTTCAAAGTTGAATGTTCGCTATGGATCAGCTTTTTTGTGATTAAATCACAAAACACAAGGCAAGCAATATTGAGAGAAGGAGACAAAAATGTTTTTTTTTTTTTAATGTTTGAAACAATGTACTATATCTTCTTGGCAATGAAAACTATATTAAAATTATAGTGGCACTCCGTTCTTTTTTTTTTTCTAAAAAAAACTCCACCAATTAGATTCAAAATTTAAATGCCTCAACAATCATGTGTCACCTGACTTAAACCACGCATTTGGTTTCGATGATACAAAACAAAACATTTAATTCATATTAAGCTCATGAGAATTCTGCTATTTGTTTGCTTTCTGAAAATACTGATTCTATATATAATATGATGGCGTATAAAAGTTTTTCTAACAATTACATAGTAAAAATCTCATATCTAAAACTGCATATAGCTGGAAGTACAAGATTTCTCTACATTAAATTCTATTTTGTTTTTACAAAAGACACTTTAAATGAATGAAATATTTTGTATCAAAAAGAATTTCGCACGCTTGCCGTTTTTTAATTTTTCATTAAAAAAAAAACATTTTAAGTGCTTTTAAGCAAACATTATGATTCTAATTAAAGTAAAACAAACAAACAATCAAGTGAAGAAAAAAAAAGTAAAAAATTTGATTGTCATGCCTTATGCACAAAAATTCTCAATTTCGATCGATAGTCTGTTTAAATTAAATAAAATTTGAATTGTTTTGATTTTTCTTTTAAGAAACAAATTTTGAAAATAATTTATTTATTTACAAAAGTCATAAATTATTTTTCTAATTTTTTTAAAAAAACAAAATGCATTTTTTTATTACAAACGAAAATAAGATTTAGGAATCATTATATGGAATTCCATAATTTACAATTGCAAAAATTAATGTACCAACTTTTAACTATTAAATAACGTACAAAATAAAACAATGTGTAAAAGTACATTGGAAATTTTGTGTCATGTTGAACCATAATATGGTGCTAAACTGTATAAAAAAAAATGAGAATAAATTTAGACTACATGATACTATGGTTCAATTTGAATGGTAACCTAGTTCAATTTAATAACTTAAGGTAGAAGAAAATTTACACCTTATTGTGGTTCAAAATATGGTTCAACATCAATCCGACTCTTCAGAGAGTGTACTTTTAACCATGGTTTAAAATTTAACTGGTTTTTTAATCATGGTTAATTATGGTAATACAAAATTTGATAGAATTTGAAGTAGGGCGATTTCAACAGTTTTTTTGTTGAGTAGATTTTTATGTTGATGTTTAAACTATAAATCTATAAAGTTTAATGAAATCTCATCAGAAACTTCATCGAATTTAATATTTAACATTTAAATAATTAAAATTTATTCCCCATAGTTATTAAATTTATATGGAAAGACATTTTTAATACATTTTTTCCCTTTCATACACCCCAAATATTTTTTTATGTACACAATCATAGTGATTGGAATTTGTGAACAAATATAATTGATGTAAATTTTATTTTACCCCAGACATGTAGGTTTTAATTTGTACTACGCGATTTATTGTAACACTTGTTTCATTTACTGTGCTTTTTGGAAACTAGTATAGTAACTAGAGAATCTGTCTGGCTTTTCGGTTTAAATCCAGAAGACATTCTTTGTTATATACACTTGTTTAATTAATGCAATCGTATATAATTACTTCAATCACGTATAATTAATTCAATCACTATATAATGAATTCAATCACTATATAATTAATTCAATCGTGTTATATTGTTCTATAATTAATGCAATCGTATTTCTCAAAATATGGAAACTCTGACATAAAAGCAATAATAAAATTTTTTTAGTAAAAATCTGTGTAAAAAAACAGAAAAAATGGCAATGTAAATATTATTGTAAAACGGTTCAAAAGTTTGAACTAAATTTTTTATTTCCAGTATAAGTTTTCTGAGAAATAGATTTTTTGTTTCTCCTTTAATTCAGCAGCATTGCAAATAAAACTTTAAAAAAATTATTTATAAGGCCGAAAAAATCGATTGTAAAAGAAACGTATGAAACTTAAATAATTTTTTGTTTTTAATTCTGAAGCTTTAACCAAAAATATCAGATGAATTTGGCACCTGTTAAGTTTACTATAGACTAGCGCTATTACCCTACTAAGGCAATCACTGAATGATGTTTTTAAAGAGAAAATCTCAATAATCCTACACCAAGCTTAGTTTTATAACCGATCATAAAATATAGTAATATAGGCTATGATTTTTTTCCTCAAAAAAATCCACATTACAATTAAATTACTTCTTTTCTACAAAACAAAAAAATATATCAAATATAAAAACCATTGCACTTCACAGAAAGCAATATACAGCCAAAACATAAAAAAATTGAATATTAATACAAAGTTGAAACAACAGGTATTTTTTTTTTCAAGAGAGTTCAAACCACAAATCTCCAATAGGTAACTGAATTACTTTATTCAAAACGGGCTTGAAGCCAGTTTTAGCAATTAACGGTGTTAAAAGGAAGCCCTGAATTTCAGCACTACCGCTCTACCAACACTTTCTAGTAGAGAGAAAACCTTCGCACGGGTTACCATAAACGAGAAATACGGTATTTTAGTAGTCCGAATGTTTTTATATCTTTCTTATTTACTACCACTGCGCAGTTAACGTTATTTTTCGAAGCTCTGTCGCCAAGAAAAATATAAAAAAAAAGGTCATAGTTTAAGTGCCTTACACTTGAAGCAATGAGATGATTTTTAACAATATATATAATCTTGCAGTGAACAATTATCTGAACTTTAAAACAATCAGATAAATAACTTAAATATTTAAAAAGTTAGTAAACTTTTTAAAAAATAGCTAATTTGGAGACATTTTTCTCCTAGATGAAAATTATCAAAATCACTGTTCAAATTCTTAGTTTTTGCAAATTTTTCTGATCCCATTTAAGGCAGCATTGGAGTAAGTTTTTAAATATTAAAAAATTAGACCACAAACGCTCTCTTTTTATTTTCACAAAACTGTGGATTTTATCCATATTGACGTTTTGGGCTATTTTCAAAATAAGCGTAGACAGCGTTGGTTTTAGATAGGCTGAACTAGACCTAACAGTCATGAGTAACTGTTGCCAACGCACAGCAGTTATAAAAATAGCATATTATTCGCAAAAAAACATCATTTCATATTTCGACGGAGCCTTTGTGAAACAGACTTAATGTTCATCACGTCGGACTACTAAATTGATTCGTGCGAAGGTTTTTTCTTTCTTTTCTAGGAAGTGTTAACTCCACAGAACGATTGATCAATTCTTAATTTTTGACGATAACGATAAATGAAAAGCAACTAAAATTTATTTCTTATACAAAGTCAAATTTAACTAGTATTTGCCTAAAACATGATTGCATTCATAATAAAAAGAATTGTAATTTTAAAAATAATTTATAAGGCGTGCAGCCATGCTCATAGACATTTGTCCAACTAGAAATGCTAAGCCTAATCGCGGGGTGAAGAAGCTATTATTGGAGATTATTCTCTATCAGGCAATTCAGCAATCTCTTCGAGATCAGTGGTTCAAACTGTCAAAAGACATTCTTTCACTTGTTTAAAGAAGGAATCATATACAAAATCGTGCGAAAATAAAAACGAAACAAGCAGTTAATTCTTGAAGTTGCTCGCACTGCGTAAGTTTCACAGTACCACGAAGAATCACCTTCTTATGTTTCTCTAACAACTGGTATCTCTCTTACTATTCCGTATACGTCTCAATTCAAATTTTATTTTACACGATTAACTGTCTCTTCTAACCCCTTCAAGCCATAACTATTTGATCAAATCACGCCAAATTCTCTTGCCAATCGTTCAATCAATGTCTAAAAATAGCAGTTTAAAGAATGCAAGGTTTGCTAAAGTTGCCCGTAAGTCACAGCCAAGAGCCAGCTTCTTTTTCAAGCACCATTGCTGCATCTTCACGTCCCATCATCCTTAGTATGTTTAATAGGTCCGTTAGTGCGCTGGAATCTCTGTGTCTTGCTTCCCACAAGTCTAAGATGTGTTCAGTAGGACTGGGTTTTGTAGCAAAGTAGTTTATATATCTGCAATCAAACAGAGACATAAGTTATAGATAATTTCTTTGATGATGGTAGAATTTGAGAATATACAAGGTGTTTTGCCTATTATATATTCCATACTTTTCGATTCGCCGGGAGCAGGTGAAACGTAACCAATAAATGTCCTTTTTATTTTATTTATTTATTTTTTAACCTAGTAAAAATAGTTTGATTTCCTTACCTAAAAATACCTAAATTTTTTTAATTTTGTAGAAAAAATTAAGAGAAAGAATACTTTCACTTAAAAGACTAGAAGTCGAAAATTATATGAGATAGTAAAAAAAAAAAAACCCAAACAAAATTAAGAGATTTATAAAATCCTGTCGACCATTTTCGACAAAACCAAAAAGGGCGTTAAACAACACGAATTTTAGTCAACAATGGAAAATAACAACCACATAAAATTTTAAAGTCTTAACTTTAGTCGTTTAAAGTTTTCCATAATTATAAAAAAAAATCGTGTTGTTAGGCGCTTTTCTCTGATCTTGTCGAAAATGGCGGACTGGATTTTATGTAAGTACCCAAAAATGTTATCAAATATTGCTAACTCTTAAGTTCTACGAAAGAAAACGAGGTATTAGATTTTTCTTCTTCTTTTTTTTGGAAAATTAGCTGATGATAAAACCGAAAGAGGAATGTATTTTAATTTCACCAGACAAACTTTGTTGTGATTTTTCGAAATCGCTTCCGAGCTTGTATTAACCTCGAAAGCTGAATATATCGTTTTTTTTCATCATTTAAATGTGAGTTAGCAAGCTCTAACGTGCATAATTTTTTAACTTTAAATATTTTTTAAAAAACGCTTTAAGAGCAGTCATTACGAAACACCGATTACAGAAAAAGAGTTTATCCGCAATAAATTCTGTACCTGTCAACTTGAAGCTCTTGAGCTAGCCTTCGCCAGTCATTTCCATTCAGATTTGGGGGATCAAGAAACGTTCGAAGTTGTTTTCGAGCTTGATTTGTTAGCCTAATGAAAAAAAAGAGAGAAAATCAAATTTTCACTTTTTATCGCTAATGAATTTCTATAATTATTCATATCAGTCAATTTTATATTCACCGTCAACTAATGGTCGATATTAACAGTCACAATGAATGGTAGAGGATTTGAAAATAAAGATATATACAATAACAATTTAAATTGTTTTGTTAAATATATCCAAATCGAAATTCTTTATGGTTCCATCAAAAACTTTTGATGGTTTCAGTGCAATTCATGATGGTCCAATATCATTTGATGGTCACCATCATCCAACATTTTCCATTACGTGTTCATGGTTTTTGATATGCCAACAAACTTCCATCATTCCATGATAGAAAATGCTACTTTAATACTATGATCATTAAGGAGAAGTTATGGACCAACAATCCATGATGATCTGTGATCGTTCCAACTATACATTTCCATGACGGTTTAATGGGAATTCTTGTTGGTTCCCAAGAATCATGAAAACAATTTTGGTATTTTTATGTTGGACCATCATAAATCAGTCCGAATTCCTACATTGGGATGGTGGTCATTCATGATCGTTCCAGCATTTGATTTCAAAGATACTACGATGGAAATTCATTATGGTTCAACATAAACAAACCATGGACGCAAGTTTCTATTTTTATGTTGGATCACCATAAATCAGACTGGAGTACATGTGATGGTTATCATAAAAAAATATAATGGTTCACAATGGAATTATTGATGGTTCCATCAAGATTATGTTGATCCATCAATGGAAAACCATAAGAAATTTTGACTTAGGATGGCATAAATCCCTGTGTAGATATTTTCCTGTGTCCAAAATAATGCAATATGAATCAAGAAAAATAGATTAACGCGCAATTATTANGTTCATGATGGAATTATTGATGGTTACCATCAAGAATATAATGGTTCGTGATGGAATCATTGATGGTTACCATCAAGAATATAATGGTTCATGATGGAATCATTGATGGTTACCATCAAGATTACGTTGGTCTGTCAATGGAAAACCGTAAAAATGTTTGACTTGGGTAGGCATATTATAAATAAAAGTGTAATTGCATGTTTAGTACCATACCGCTGTTAATTTACAAGTAGTATTTTCCCTTAAGTGCTGAATTTAATATTGCGGCAGGTACTTAAATTTTGCTACCAATATTTATGCAAAGTTTTACGTAAGGAATAATATTGGTAAAGGGTGACAACCTTCGATTTACATTATCCTGGCACTTAGAATAAAAAACGTAATTTGGAAAGAAATCTAACATTAAATCTAATGTCTAATTAGATATAGTAGTGCCACCGAGTTACGAAGAGCAGGAAATTTAAATTTGATTGGAAGACAACAATTTAATGCGGTACAAATATTTTCTGTTTGTAAATAAAGTACAAGTTGTAAAAGCTTTTTTTCTAAATGAAACAAAATTTCATAATTTAAATGTTATTTTCTCATACATTTTTACTCTTCATTGCATTAATATCATCTCAATTTTTATTAAAATGTTTTAAACATGTAAGCAATGATATGTTTCAGTAATGTTTTACTAATGATTGCAATAATGTAAAGCCTTCCTATATTGTAAGAAGAAAGTAGAAAATTATATTTTATACACAGAAAAGTTACATTAGTAACATTTTTGTGTTATGCGTGCATATGTAAGTCCTATAAGACATTTGGATAACTTCACACTTTTGCTTGACTGCGATTTATAATTTTAGAAGAGTTTATTAATAGTGAAGTAAAAACGGAGTTTAAACTAGTTAGTGTTTAGTTTCATGCGATTGAACGCAAAATATATTCAGGAAACAATATTTCATATGTCTAGACAACAATGTCAGATGTGAAAGTAGGTCCAAGTAAAACATGGTACTTTTAGTGTACATAATAACTTCTTAACTATTAGCTTTACAGTCTCGAACTTGGTTTCAATTAATTCGGTGATAAGCACCCTGCAGCCTCCCCATTTGCACCCTGCAGCAAAAAAACCGGCTCTCAACTTTTTGCCTCTTACTAAGACGTGGGTACCACTGGGTAGGATTGTTTTCGGATGTTCGAGTTTTGAAGGCTTCGGAGCTATCTTTACCATGATTTTAGCTCTCTTTTAATTGCAAAGACACTCGGGAATGTTAATAATACTAAAAAAATAACTAGGTACAAACAATTTACAACAAGTGTTTGGAAACTATCAATTTCTACAGTTTCAGCGAAAAATTTTAAACAAATATTACGTTTTTATTAAAATATGCAAAGATGAATTGCAATAAACTTTCGAAGGCTTTTTTTTAAACATGAAGGAAAAATATTCATTAAATAATATAAGATTTTCATCAAAATTTTGAATACTTAATGAAAAACGAAGTTAATTTTAATTTCTTTCGTTTTCTCAGTTTTTATTTCTACTCTTATTTTATTAAAAAGTAAAAATAAGTTTTTCTTTTTAAGAAAATACGAGGTCGGTTATCTGTTGTTATATATTGCTGTAACGTTTCTTGTCGTATCTGATTTAAATATTTTATTTGTACCGAAAAGATTGTCTAATTGAAGTATTTCATTCGTATAGTTAGCGTATGTGCGATTTGTAAACATATGTTACATCCGATATACGATGCAGCATAATGTATAAGATAAGAACAATTTCCATGGTTCTTTCTTGACTACAATTATGATTCAAATTTTCTACGCTGTATTGGGTAAAAGCATAAACTTTGAAAAAAAAAAATTAAATATGTACCTGAATCCTGCGATTGGCTGATCCAAGGCAACGAGGGGGCAGCCGTTGTCATTGGCCGTCACCGTAGAACTCAGGGGCTGATTTGTCCAGTTGAGGGTAGGGCTAGGTACATTGGTTTTCTGTAAATATGAGAAGAACATGAATCGTGAAAATAAAATGAAGTAAAAAATAAATCTCATAAAAATGATTAGTTTCCTGAAAATATTATCGAAAACAAAAAGCATTTTGCGGAAATTTTTTTTATTACTTCTCATGGATTCAATAAATGCTTACAATTATGTAAAGTATATAACCATAAATAATGAAAAAAATAAACAGTTCTAAAAAAAAATTAAAAACTTAATAAAATATATAAAACTGTACTTTTCGGTTAGCCCGGCGCAAGGAAATTAAACTGTTTTTTTATTTATTCGATTTTCTAGTTTTTTAAAATTTTGTTTAATTTTTATGTATATAAAACAATAAATAAACAAAAACAAAAAAAAGTAAATAAATAAAAATTGTGAAAAATAAATAATGAAAAAAATAAAAAGTTCTAAACAAAAATTGGAAACTAAATAAAATATATAAAACGGTACTTTTCGGTCAGCCCGGTGCAAGGAAATTGAACAGTTTTTTATTTTATTTGATTTTCTCATTTTTTAAAATTTTATTTAAACTTTGCGTATATGAAACAAAAAAAAATTGGTGGAGATGCACATTTATTACTTTTCATTGACTTCGATTAACCATTAAGTACCCATAAAAATAGTAATACTCTCAAGAACAAGTCTTTGTAATAGTAATAATGTATTCGTGAGAACCGCCGGCCGAATAATTCCCCTGTATCAAATGGTGACTGGTGCACATTAAATCTGTCAGCGTTACAAAGTCCTCCAACCACAACAAATCAAAAGCTCTGGTGGTACTGAATTGGAGATTAATCATTCTCTGTTTCAGATCAAAATTACGATCTGCAGATGGATGAAAGGTGTGTAAATCAGTCTTCCCAGTAAAATGGATTGTGACGTATGTGTGTGGCAAAATCGTATTCTATGGCGACAGATGGCACCACTGAAAACAAGAAGCGCACTCTCTGCTTTGAAAATTCTTTTTATTTCAAGCAGTCTCGCTGATATTGGCAAGTGGCTTATGTGACAACCACAACAGATGGAAGAGCTTGGATGGCAGAACAATATTAGTTTTAAATAACACAAAGAATAAGAGCATAGAAAACGTATTACATTGTGGCGTAAATTTAGTATCACAAAAATCAAAACGTAATTTTTCGTAGTTATAAAAAAAGCAGTCTCACTTTCACCAAAATAAGAAAAGTTTTTGATTCCAACTCAGTGAGTGTTTATGCACTCCTCGAATTTGTCTATAATACTGTGAAATAAAGGATAAAGACAGTGAAACAGATGAGAGTTCAGAGTTATTATAAAATAGAGCAAGGTATGTAAAAGAAAGAATGCACAGCTTAAACGCTTTTCAGTGTTAAATAATATTTCAAGGACTTCTGAGACATTCCCTGAACAAGTAATTTTCCGTTTTCGCCAACAGGCGTTTAACTAAAGCTTTTCAATGGCTGTCAATGTTTAGTTTTTAATTGGCATCGAAATTCGTGATTTTCTGTAAGTAAATGTGTCGAGACTTGCACTACATATGAGCGTTGGGAAGCTTTAAATTGATTCTTGAGTTCTGATGAGAAATGCAGAATGAAAAAAAATAATGAGAATGAAAAAAGAATATGCCTGTAATTTTACTTCTGCATTTTTAATTAAAATCCATTTGTACTATTCGGAGAGACTAAAAGAAAGTGTTGATTATTCAGACAATTTTGACCTAGATTAGCATAAATAAATAAGAGTAGTAAACAATTCAAAAACTGATTGGAAAAGGAGGTAATGGTTTGGGAAGCTTTTAAGATATCAAAACTTTAAAAGTAGCCTTACATTCAAGCCTTAAAGACAGACCACTCAAACCTTAAAAACAGAAATAGATGCTGTTTGGATGGTCAGAATTTGACATAAATGATAATAACATTAATTTTAAATACTTTTTTCGAATTTTGTCACGTACGTAAATTCGTACACTGGTTTTCACAAATTAATGAAAAATTGCAAAAATGGCGATATCTCTCCCAAAAGTAAACCAATCTTAATGAAATTTGAATATGTTGTCAAATAAGAGATGCTAAGTTAAGCGGTAATTTGTAAATTAGTGGCGCTGCGATGGAATAAAGTCACCTGCATATAAGCCTGCAAATTTCACGGTGTTTCTGAAATTAGAAATTAGAGAATGCCAATTTGTAACAATGATCTCCAGGCATCATTTGTCCGATGAAGTAGGGAAAAGTCAGATAGAAATGAGCAGATGACTAAATGTGAGTCCTTCTGTGGTTCACAGACCTTGGCAACAATGTCTACCACAGGTTCGGCATTCAGAAGGTTTAACTATGGATGACCAATTGCTACGACGAGGCCGACGTCCGATATTTATCATTATGTACATGAAGGAAGAGAACTGCAACTCCGAGTAAGCTCAGATCCTCTCTTAGTAGTCTCAGATTGGTGTCAATGTCTACTGTGTGTAAAAGACTTTACGAACGTGGTTTGTTCGATAAGCAATCAGTCATTTGCGTGCCACTCTCATCACGCCATAAATGGGACATTTGAGGTGAACGCAGCACCATGTCCACTGGAAAACTGACCAATGAAAGGACCTTCACAGATGAGTTCAGGTTTAGCCTCAAAAGAGATAGTAGGCATTGTTTGATTTGGAGAGAACCCTATAATCAGATATTATCTATCAAACATCTGTTATAGAGATGCTTACCCGTGTGTGGGGTGGTATCTCTTTCGGTGAACGTGCAGAGCTGCATGTTTTTCTACGTGGAATCGTGAATACTCACGTGCATAGACATAACATATTTGATGCTTATATGAACTTTTATGCTGGAGCAATAGGTGATGATTTCGTGTTACAACCGATAACGCAACACCACAAAAAAATTGCATTGTGGATTATATTCAGCAGACAATAATAATTCAGAGCATGGAGTGGCCAGCTCGATCAGCAGATTTAAACTCAATTTACCATGTTCGGGAAGCTTTAGAGAGGCGTGTAACTACTCTCAATCCTCCTCCTCAGACCCTTGCAACTACTTTGTATGAACAATGGATCGCACTTCCAACGGAACAGGTGGACCGCATAAAAGTATGACACACCGCTGTATGGGCTGTATTGCTGCTAGTGGTGATCATACTCCATACAATTTTTTTTCCGATTCCAAATTGACACGTCCGATTTATACATTTAATACGCATGCTGATTTCTGTAGCACCATAATTGTCTGGTTAATATTTTTTATGTTATTTTATACATTATTATGTGCACTATAATGTGAGCCAGTTTTATTAAATTCCATGCGTATCATTTTGAGTTATGGTCATCTTTGGGATGTTTTTTTCATTTATGATAACCAGTGTATTTAGGGCCGGAATAGCCTGGTTGATGGGGCACTGGGCCCATGTCCAAGAGGTCGTGGGATCGATCCCCGCCTGCTGAAGACTCCTCGTGTAATAAATGGTGACTGACGCATGTTAAATCTGTCGGGTCACTAAGTCCTCCATGTTCTCCTGTAACAAATCATACCTCTGGGGGTACTGATCCAGGAGTTTCCTTGACTTCTGAATTGGCTTCAAAATTACAAGGCTGCGGAGTTGAACATTAGTAGACGTAAACTCAAAATTGGGTCGGCTATTCAACGACGGTTATAAAATATAAAATAAAACCAGTTTATTTATCAGCCGGAAGTGTTTCTTGTAGTATTCTATCAACTCCATGATTCAATATAAAATATCGATATTGGATAAAAGGAATCGTATTTCTAATAAAATTAAAGTTTTGCTCTTGCAGGAACGCTTGGCGAAAAAAAAAAGTTAGTAAAAGCAAACTTATGCAATAAGTAATATAAAAACATTTAGTTCGACTTTAATATTTTCAAAGAAAGCTGTATTAACATTTCTTTTCCGAAATACGAGTCACTCAATTTAAATTGAAAAAGGAAATAAGATACTGAACTGTATTAATTTGACTGACGCATCGAAATTAATATTTTAAAGGTATGTATTTGATTTTCGAAATATTCTGAAAAATAAGAGAAACATTTATATATTTTGAATTGGTATTTCATTACATTTTTCGCATTTGATGAACAAAATACAAACGAATTTCTAGATACCTTTTTTAGTTCTACACTTGTAAAATAATTATAATAACTTTTTAAAATAATTATAATAATGAAACTTGATTCTTATTTTTTTAAATTATAATGCAAATACTTATTATTACAAACTAAATAATACTATTATTGCATTATTGTATTGTTATTAATTTGTAACGAGCTAAAAGTTTGCGATTTTTAAAACTTAATTTTTAAAACTTCAGTGCGTAATCGAATAGAGAGCTGTAAACGTCTGAAGGAATCCCAGAAATCAAAAAGTTAGAAAAATATCCAGGTAAAAAAATTTTTGATTAATATTTTGCGATAGGAAACCATGCTGTTAAATACCATCTCTAAATAGATAATAATTTAAAAAAGAAATCATGCTATCCGATTTTAAAGCTTAGTGCGTAGGCTCTTTTTTTATTTTATAACCGTCGTTGAACAGCCTATCCAATTTTTTGGGTTTACGACTACTAATGTTCAACTCCAAAGCCTTGGTAATTTTGAACCTAATCCAGAAGACAAAAGAACTCATATATCAAGTATTGGAAGAAATTTGCTTTCGAGGAGGACTTTTTGATGAAACTCACCAGTATTTGCGCTACACGGAGAGGAAAACCATGAAAACCTCCCACGGTTAGCCGGATGGCAAGGGGACTCTAATCCATGATCCGTCTACCACTGAGGATATTTTACGTCAGCACCGTGGTTGGTGCAAGCTGGATGCGGATTCGTATCTACCGTCCATCGCTGAGATTCGAGCCCGGTTCCCCTCATTGGAAGGCGAACGCTCTATCCCCTGAGCCATCACTGCTCTAGAGTATAGTTCTTCAAATGTCGTAAAGAAAATCTTTAATACATATTTCTGGAATCTTTGTCAAAAGAAAATTTTGAAATATAATTTCATTAGAAGTCACCTATGATTACTTAAACAAGGAAAAAATAACAATTTCTATATGGATTCCAAAAATATACATTAAGAGCGGCCATCGCGAAATTGTAAAAAAAGTCATTTAATTAGTCTATATGTATCTCACACCAACCCTAATATACTTCTTTGAGGAAATGAATAGCTAGGTTCCGGAAAATAAGGAGCGAAAAAGATGTCTTACTTCTCTAGAATCTTGAGGATTAACTTTAAGCATCTGTCTGTGAGCTTGTATACCCCTCTGGTAAACTAGAATATGACATCGAACTTTTTGAGATCTGTCAACGTTTTCTAGAGTGAATGAACAGTGAAGATTGTTCTGTCGACCATTCCAAACGTGTTGAAATGGAATTTCCTACAAGGATAAAAAAAATTGCCAATGAAAAATACATAAGAATTAAAATAAAATCTTGAGTTTATAGTCAAATTATTTAGTCCTTTTGGAAGTCCCACGTTGATATAGTTTCCCCCCTTCAATTTCGTAAGCAAATATAACGAGATTTGCGTTTCAAGCTATTTTTTTTCCTGCTTAATATACGAGGTGTGTCCGAAAAGTAAGTTTGTTCTATTGCCATCGCAATGGTAGTGTCACAGTTCCAGACATGCGCATTTGTATCTCTGATTGTATGTCAACTGGAGCTATTGCAGCTGGATTGTGTTATGTTGACGCTTATTAATGAGCATTCAAAACGTTTAAGAAGATTACCGACCCCGCCGACTACGAAGAGCATTTAGTAATACGGTGCGATACAGTGTAGTAAAAAATTGCGAATTGTAGTTCAAAACAAAAGGCGGAGAATTCTCAGTCCCATTCTGATGATTTCTTTCTAAGTTTAATTCATAAGTTCGGTTAGAAGCAGTTCGATCAACCGCTACACAGTCCCGGTCTCGAACTTTAAGACTGAAACTAGTTATTGAACTATTAGAAAAATGATTTTTGCTGGAGGCTCTACGATTACGATGTTCGTTTAAAAAACAGTGTTCGTTCATTCATGGCTATCGTTACTGGAAGCATTTATTTTTGAAGAAGTTTTTGACAAGTAAGACAGTTAAGATAAATGTCTAAGCAATGGCAATAACTATGCAGAAAATTAGTTTCTAAAATGCTCTTTTGCGAGAGCCCCGCAGTGGACTGATCGTTAAGACACGGTTCCCAGCAGATCAATCGAAGTCAAGCATCACTGGCTGCGGTCAGTGTGCGGGTGGGTGACCACTTGGATCAGTCTGCGTAGGGATCGAGGGTGTGCGGTATTGGTCCTCGTTAATCTGTTCTACCGTAAAGTGCTCGACTTCGCATACAGGTCGTCGGGCTACCAAAGCGGGGGTGCCATTCCTTCTGCAGAGAATCAAAATTCTGATAGCATGTCTTTGGATCGTCCTCAGGGATGTTTCCCAGACCACCGCCAATAGCCCATTGTGCAGCTCTAGTGCGACGTAAATGAAGTGCAACTACAGCTGCTCTTTTGCATGAAAATAAATTTTATTTTAAAATTTTTTTATGCGAGTTTTTCTCCTACAAAACGGTACTCACTTTCTGGACCTGCCAGATACCTGGTATACGCATTTCCTCAATTAGGTATGCAGCGATTTAATCCAGTATACTCTACTTTTAATTAAATACTTTTTAAAAAAGGGAAATGTTCACGGAATGGGTGTTCCTGCACCCAATTTGCTGAACTCTAAAAATTTAAATATTTTCACAATGTCACCCTAAGCTCGTCATAATGGTTTTCAATGGATAGATTTATAACAATCAATTACTTGATAGTTGGCACCAGGTTTACACCTCCATCCTTGCGCAACATCCTCCAAACAGAGGCACAGGTTTGCTCCTCCATCTTGGAAAGGCATAGATTTTGGACGGTCTAAGAGTTTGCCACCGAGCCTCTGTTCCACCTGCATAACACCCTTCAAAACATAATAAAAAGATATTAATGTACTATAAGGAATAAAGGAAAAGCTAAGCTCTTTCCGCGAGCAACTTTTCTATTATTCTCCCTCGATACACTTCGTAGGTGTTCTTTGCCGCAAAATGTGGTTTATACCTTTCTATACTCTAAAACAGTAAGAAAAGTGGAAACTATACCCAGATAGCGAAATGAGGTTTATTTTAACTCAGCAAAAACCTTTTAATGTACGCCTGAAAAGGCTTATTTACGTGTAAACCTTCTAACCTTAAAACGAGATCTATGACAATCTGCTCTATTCTACGCACATTGCCCTAATCCAAAATCTCAACAACCTTCTATATGAAAACCTTAAATCGAGGTTGGCTTAGAGTTTTCAAGCGTGAAAAAATCCTTTAATAAAGCTAGTCTCAAGGGGAAAATAATCTTAAATCTAGGTCATTATAAGGTTTCATTTCGCAAAGTCTTGTATGCAAAGCTAAAATCCACCTTGTCTTGAAATTTTAATGAACAATGCAATTTGTTCGTATCGCTAGTGTGACGTCATTTTGGACCTAGATGACCATTTCACAATACGTGGCAATACTTTAAAAAAAAAACTTTAAAATATAATTTTTAACCCTATTAGGATGAAAGGTTTTAAACTGCAATGTTTTTGCTTTATTGAAAAAAGGTTTTTAGTACAAACATTTTCGTGACAATAAACACAAGGTTGCCGTAAGGTTACGTGCCTTCTGGGATAGCAAGAAATCCTTTGCGAGGTGTTGTGAGGAAAAATGAAAAAGTTGCTCGCGAGATAGCTTGAATGGAAGATAAGAGTTGTTTACTTGTAAGGCAGCTCGGGTGTCCTCCACACAATACACTCGGATGTTGTAATCCACAGCAGAATATTGAGAGGGAGCAAAGGCAGCGAGGGCAAGGGATTTTAGGGCTTTCTTGTGCCACTCAGTGCCATCGTTATCTGACTCACCCGCTAATGCGTATCGGCACAGGTGATCCGTTACGACGTGACACTGGCGACCATCTAGTTGACAGTATAGAGGAGTGTTGATTGTTTCTTGGCCGAGAGTGACAACATTCTGCAAAGAAAATCCCAGAAAAGAAAATTAATTAAATGTAGAAACTTACCACAATTAAATATGAAATATATAAGATTTTAAGAACAGGGGGTCGCCCAATCGGCATGGTGTTAGGTATAAGAGGATTGAGCTTCCGGCAATCGTATTTAGGTTCGGCATCCAGTCTAATGTAATGTCCACCGTGATTTCACAGCAGAAACGGTTGTCGAGCGTGGTAGCTAGACCGATTGGGTTCTATCACAATCTATTCGGTGAGCTTTTTATTCTGGACATAGCTCGGAATTCGTATTTAAGAAAATGGACATAGGTCAGCATGCGTCTTTTCCACGTCCAACTCAAAATTTTAAAACTAGATCAGATATTTTGCTTGGGTCTCGGATTTTGGGGTGTGGCTGGCTGAGTATTAAAAATTACAAGGAGAGGAAAACTACGAAAACCTACCACGGTTAGTCTGACGGCAACGCGACTCCATCCCATGATATGTCTACCAGTGAGGATATTTTATGAGCAATATGGTCGGTGCGTCCCGGATGAGGAATTCGTATCGACCAGCCATCGCTGGGGTTGGATACCGGGTTATCTAATTTAGTATGCGAGTGCTCTGTCCCCTGAGGCACCCCAGTTGTTTCGTTTTATTCAAATCTGACAACATTGCTTATACACAAATGTTGGTTGGTTGGTTCTAATGCCACTTGCCACACGGGCAAGCCTGCTCGGTGAAACAGAGCAAATTTTTAAGGCAGAGTGTGCGTTTCTTATTTTCAGTGGCGCCATCTATGGCCAAGAATTCGACTTCTGCCACACCATACGTCGTCCCCGTTTATAGGGCGGATCCATTCATACATCCACAGATCGTAATTTTGACCTGAATCAGAGAACGATCGATCTCCAATCCAGTACCTCCAGAGGTTACACAAATGTTTCTAAAAGAAACATGCTACTCACCCGCCATTCAGGGTTTTCTTCTTCTGTACCACTATCACTGGCATGCACTGATATCTTCCAATTCTGTGATGTGAGAAGAGCGCAGTGTTGGAAAGTAATAATAGCTGATTTCTTCAAAAGAACACCGTATGGCCCACACAGAATCACCGGACTTAAAATGGTTTCTTTATCTAAATAGTGAAGAGAATACAACAGAAAATTTATTTCTTCTTCACAAGTGAAAATTAGAAATAATTTAAAATATTGCGAATGAATATTTAGAATGAAAAGATTTGTAATTATTGTGAGCTGAGAATAAAAATGATAAATACCAGACGAGTTTGCAATCGGAATTTGAAACAACTTAATCTATTTTAAAGATTTTATAAACAAAACTAATTTAAAAAAAAAATTATTGCTGCTCACACTTAGAAAGGTCTTCACTAAAAATTGTTATGTGAATTTCGCTACAATTTTACTTTTTAAATTCTGAGTAAACGGAAACTTATAATAATCATTAAAAAAATCAATATATTGTATAGGTTAGACATAAGTGGTTACATCAAAAATTTTCAACATAATTTCTTATAAATCATACTCAAAACAAGTCATAAAGAAGGTGTAAATTACTCGTGAAATTTTAAAAACAATGATTTTGTTTTGATTTACCTGCTTTGACAATGAACTATAATCTATAGATTATAGTCCATTGTTTTATTTACGGATTTTATTCCTTCAATTTTCATTCATTCTAATTTCCTATTTATTTATTCATTTATAAGCATGTGCTATATGAGTTATACAGTTTCCATTGTAGGTAGAAGTTTTTTGCTTGCATACGTTTATAGTTTTTAATTAATTTAATATGAAGCTTGAGTTTTAGGTCTTAGCGCCAGTTTTCCGAGAATAATAATTTAAGAGTCAAGCTTTTAGAGTTTAAATTCAATGAGGTATCATATTTTCAATATTGAAACTAAAAACAAGCACTGGTAGCTATGAAATAAGTAATGAAACCGGTACGTACCAAAAATTAAAATCCAGTTGCTGTTCGTAAAATGTTGGAAAAATTCAACCAATAACAGAACGGATTAAACTTATAAGTTGAAAAGATTTGATGCGCACTTTAACTTTTAAAATAGTTAACTTTGATTTGCAGCAAATAAATTAAGAAATCGTTTTAAGATGCAAGTTGAAAACAGTCATGTGGGGCAATTTTAAGTAGAAACATTCTTTGTAAAAAAGCTAACAAAAGTGGTACAAAATTGAAACTATGAACAACTCGTTAATATGATAGTTTTAATGATAGAATAGCAGTGTACAATGAAAAATAACTCTTAACTCTTTCAATAACTCTTAACTAACTCTTTCAACTTATTTAATCATTTAACAGCATGTAGTATATGACTAATGTAGTTCCTATGTCGGACCTTTTTTGATTGTGTATTTTTTAAATTAAATTTAAAGCTAATTTTTTAGGACAACGGTTTTTTTAAGATAATTTCAAATCAAATTATTTTAGGTTTAAATCTAATGAGTTATCTTTTTAGAATCGAAACTAAAAACTAACACTGTTATTTTAAAATAAATAGTATACATGGTATACATAAAAAAAAAACTCCAGTTCGTTGCTGTTTGTAAAATGATTAAATAGTTCCCCAGGTTACAAATGAATGGATTTAACTCATAAGTTGAAAAGATTTGATGTGCACTTTTATTCCTAAAACATCCAATGTTAGCTGAACTTTCGTTAGAAATAAATAAAGTAAGAAATCAGCAAAGTATAAGTTGAAAATAGTGATGTGGGGCAGTACAAAATGGAAACATTCTTTGTTAGGAAGCTAACAAAAGTCATACAAAATTGGAACTATAAACCACCTAAGACACTTTTAATGACAACTCGTTAATAGGATAGTTTTAATGATAGAACAGCGGTGTACAATGAGAAGTATTAAACTAATCTTGGGACAAAGAAAGGGGTGAACTCGATGGGACGCTTAAAATGAGTCAATTTATGAGAAAGAAAATTAAAAGGCATGTGCAGGGACATTAAAACAAAGGTTAATGAACAAAATAATGACCGAGATCAACGTCCAGAACTAGAATTTAGTGTCTCACAGTAGGGTAAGGCTATTAACTTGAAAAAGAAACAAAGCTAGCAGTTAGACTACAATTTAAAACTATTATTAGAAAAGGAGTGCTTTAAGTTATAGGGAGGCACCGTTTAATTAAATTAAATATTCTAATTTGGTTGTATAATATGCTTGACGGAAATTGACAATTTGAAGACATCGTTTTTGACAAATTCTTAAAATGACTAATTTGAATGAATTAAACATTATGCACGTGTACTTTTCAAATTTATATTAGTTTAAGTATTTTAAAAGACAATGAATCATACAAGTAATTATTTTAAATTTATTTTATTTTATTTCATAACCGTCTTTGAACAGCCACCCAATTTTTAGAGTTCACTACTACTAATGTTCAACTCCGTAGTCTTGTAATTTTGAATCCTATTCAGAAGACATTACCTTGATCAAGTATTAGGAGAAATTTGCCTTTGCGGAGGACTTTTTTGGATGGAACTAATCCACATTTTCGTTACATGGAGATGAAAATCACGAAAACCTCCCACGGTTAGCCTGATGACAAAGGGACTATAACCAATGATCCGTCTACCACTGAGGATATTTTACGTCATCACTGTCATCGGTGGAAGCCGGATGCGGAATTCAAATCGACCAACAATCACAAGGATTTGAACCCGGTTCACCTTAATGGAATGCGAACGCTCTATCCCGCGAGCCATCATGGCTCAAAATTATTCAATTACAGTTGTTTCAATAATACGGTACATTTAACAGTAGAAAATATCTGTTTAACAGTTTAAAAATGTAATGAAAGGGTCTAGAGTTAGCTAATGGAAATGTCAAAAGTAAGTCCTAAAATAAAATATAAATAAAAAAAGAAATGAAAAAAATTGTTTTAGTGCTGAGAATTAAGCATTAGAATAAGAGGTAAAAATTTATTAGTTCTTTTGAGAAGAACAAAGTTTTGAAATAATTTGTTTTATTTGGTTACTAGCCAAAAGAGAATTATATTTTATTATAAATAAATGAGTGTGAATTCACACCATAATAAAAATATCCTGCAAACATATTTATTAATGTCAAAAACTAAATCCAAATCATTTTTATGCAAAAGAGGAACTGAGCCTCAAAATTCCTCTTACAACTATAATTGTTTAAAATTTTGTTTAAATATAAATTGTACCACTTCTTAACCTTTTTTGATGCAGATGGGACACTGGTGCCTCTTTCGTATTTTTTATCTGGCACTCTAATGGCAAGCAAAAATACATTTTGTCATTTTTAGTTATAAAAAATCTGTTAGATGATCGGAATTATATTTGCACTAAAATAAAAGTAGTTTAAAAAAGTTTTTTTTTTCCATTCATATTCAAAACTTTATCAATAGTTGATTTTACGAAGTAAAGAAATTTCAATGATGAATAACTGTGTTTCTCTCAGATCTAAATAACTGCAAATAAGTACAAATTTGAAAATTTATTGTTTGGAAATTAGTGTTAGGAAGATTTTACCTTTAACGTAGAAAAGTGTTTCATGCTGTATTTAATTACCATAAACTATTAAAAAGCTAAGTGTAATATTAGTTACTTATTTTGACCTACATTAATACAAAATAATGAAAAAAAAAGAATTAAAAATATTTTTAATAAAAATTTGGCGTCAAAGGAGATGGTTATGATTTTCCGATGGTCATATACTAAATTTTTGCACATGAAATTTACTATTGTAGGAATAGGGGGAAATTTCGTTTTGCAAAGTTAACACAAAATCTTCCCCGCGATTGTAGATTTAATGTAATATTGCATTAATTCTATATAACATTAGCCTGCATAACATAGCAAACCTAAGCTGCATTGTTTACTTGATGTTTTTCAAGTTTCCTAAAAATTAATGGCAAGTAATCTTAAATTTGTTTTTGTGAGTCAATTTTCCAATACAAAAATGACTAACTTCAGCCACATTCTTAGCTTACCTTCTATTTTTTAACGCCTCTTACAAATATTAAAAAAAATAAACACAGCAATATAAATGTACCTTAAGAAAATATCAAATAAAATATTTAAAAGAAAAAAAGGCAACAATATCAGTATACTTTGAACAAATAGTAAAAAGATATGCGTACCAAAATCAAAATATCCTGTAAACAAATATACGAACAAATTTCTCCCAAAGCGAATTCATTTACCTGATAAACGAGGTCTGTCTTTGTCGTCGCTTAGAACAGCAATATACGTTTCAACATTGGTACCTTTCTTAATCGCTCCGGGTGGAATAGTAAGAGTTATAGCTAGATATGCGTAAGTATAACTATGTATAACTCTTTATTAATTATCTAGGTATAACTCCAGGTATGCACCTTTATTAGATATGAGTAGCAATATCAATATACCCTGAGTACAAATGCTAGCAAATTTCCATAAAAGCAAATTCATTTACCTGACACAAGAGGTCTGTCTTTGTCTTTTCTTAGAACAGCAATATGCATTTCAACATTGGCACCTTTCTTAATCGCTCCGGGTGGAATAGTAAGAGTTATACCTAGATATGCATAGCAATCTAGGTATAACTCGTTAAACTCTTAGGTATGTACCCTTATTGGATGTGCGTAGCAATATCTTAATCGTTCCGAGTGGAATAGTAAGAGTTATAGCTAGATATGCGTAAGTATAACTAGGTATAACTCTTTATTAATTATCTAGGTATAACTCCAGGTATGCACCTTTATTAGATATGAGTAGCAATATTAATATATTCTGAGTACAAATGCTAGCAAATTTCCATAAAAGCAAATTCATTTACCTGACAAAAGAGGTCTGTGTTTGTCTTCTCTTAGAACAGCAATATACATTTCAACATTGGCACCTTTCTTAATCGCTCCGGGTGGAATAGTAAGAGTTATACCTAGATATGCATAGCAATCTAGGTATAACTCTTTATACTCTTAGGTATGTACCTTTATTGGATATGCGTAGCAATATCTTAATCGTTCCGAGTGGAATAGTAAGAGTTATAGCTAGATATGCGTAAGTATAACTAGGTATAACTCTTTATTAATTATCTAGGTATAACTCCAGGTATGCACCTTTATTAGATATGAGTAGCAATATCAATATATCCTGAGTACAAATGCTAGCAAATTTCCATAAAAGCAAATTCATTTACCTGACAAAAGAGGTCTGTCTTTGTCTTCTCTTAGAACAGCAATATGCATTTCAACATTGGCACCTTTCTTAATCGCTCCGGGTGGAATAGTAAGAGTTATAGCTAGATATGCGTAAGTATAACTATGTATAACTCTTTATTAATTATCTAGGTATAACTCCAGGTATGCACCTTTATTAGATATGAGTAACAATATCAATATATCTTGAGTACAAATGCTAGCTAATTTCCATAAAAGCAAATTCATTTACCTGACAAAAGAGGTCTGTCTTTGTTTTCTCTTAGAACAGCAATATGCATTTCAACATTGGCACCTTTCCTAATCGCTCCGGGTGGAATAGTAAGAGTTATACCTAGATATGCATAGCAATCTAGGTATAACTCGTTATACTCTTAGGTATGTACCTTTATTGGATGTGCGTAGCAATATCTTAATCGCTCCGGGTGGAATAGTAAGAGTTATAGCTAGATATGCGTAAGTATAACTGGGTATAACTCTTTATTAATTATCTAGGTGTAACTCCAGGTATGCACCTTTATTAGATATGAGTAGCAATATCAATATATCCTGAGTACAAATGCCAGCTAATTTCCATAAAAGCAAATTCATTTACCTGACAAAAGAGGTCTGTCTTTGTCTTCTCTTAGAACAGCAATATGCATTTCAACATTGACACCTTTCTTAATCGCTCCGGGTGGAATAGTAAGAGTTATACCTAGATATGCATAGCAATCTAGGTATAACTCGTTATACTCTTAGGTATGTACCTTTATTGGATGTGCGTAACAATATCTTAATAGCTCCGGGTGGAACAATGAGAGTTATAGCTAGACATGCATAGAAATCTAGGCATAACTCTTTATTAATTATCTAGGTATAACTCTTTATACACATACGTATGTAACTTTATTAGATATGCGTAGCAATATCAATATACCATGTGTATTTCTCTAAAAGCAAATTTATTTACCTGATAAACGAGGTCTGTCTTTGTCTTCTCTTAGAACAGCAATATACACTTCAACATTGGCACCTTTCTTAATCGCTCCGGGTGGAATAGTAAGAGTTATACCTGAATGAAAAGAAAAATAGTCATTACATTGGAACAAATAATCGCTTTTATAGATCTAAGGAAAGAGTAAAAATGCGTACCGGATCCAGGTATGGAAATACGACCGCCACTTTTTGTAACAGTGCCCCACGCTATACATTCTATATCTAAATTTGGAGGCAACGCTGCTGAAGTGACTGAATGCCTGCCTGATGGAGTCTCATTGTCTGAAATGGTAGATGGTTGGGAAGCTGAAAAAGAAATAAAAAATAACATTGATGAAAGGTAATAACTCTTATGATTTATAAACTAATTATTAATTACAAAAAAATTATTTTTTTATATTCCGTAATTGAAAAACATTAGTGGAATAACTTTCAAAAGTAACGTTTAAAATGATCGATGAAAGTAATTTTTAGATTGTATAGGAACACCAGGAATCTGTTAAAAAAAACTTTTCATTGACGAAATAATTAGGAAAATAAATTAATATTCTATGCTCACATGTGACCTTGTTTAGTGGATAACAAGTTTTTAAACTCAAAAATTTTATCATTTTCAATATATTGTCTAACATGTTTTTAGTTTTGCGTTATATCTACTATACTCTTTGTAAACAGAATATGTGTCTCTAGGTTATGAGATTTCCCCTCTCTTCACACTTTTCCTCTTTGCGTTACTAAGATAACAACAAATCTAAATTTACCCTCACGGCAGAACTTTCAGTAAGAAGTTGGAATCTACTTGCTCGGGGAAAAAGTAAAATTTGCCAAAGCCATGGTAACGGAGGGTGGAAAATGTGAAGAGTTGGGAAATCATTAAACTTTGAGACGCCTATTTTATTTGCAAATAGTATAGCCAAGACAGAGTAAGTCAGTTGCATGAGAATACTTTTTAAGAAATACTCTTCGGTGTTAAGTACGTAATGTAGTCATAGAGTTATGACATAAGTGGAAAGAATATGTGATAGGTTGAAAGCCAAAATTTATACAAAAGTAATTAAACAAAAATTTCCTCCTAAACTTAGCATGGAGTGATCGATAAGGTAGCTTTATCCGATGAAATCTGACAATTATGGGTGTATATTCGTTTTTCTTGTTTTAAAAACTAATCCTAACTATTCAAAGTATTTTATTATACATAAAAACAACATTAAATAACCATATATTTGTCAGAAATAGTTAGAAAAAGTATGATAGCTATACTTAACACTCTTATTAACTTATTTATGACATTAAAAGTCAAATAAATAGTTAATCCTGTGATAAAAAATTATTTATTTCTTTACTTTTCTGCTAAAATGTACTTTCTGGTAGAAAAGTTTGCAAACAAACTAAGTACAAAGTTATTTTTAAAGAGAAGAATCATAATGTATGCAATTATAGAATCATAATGTATGCATCAATAATGTATGCAATTTTGGAGTAGTTTGACGTGTGCGCTTTAGCTAGTAAAAAGAAAAAGAGACTAAATTTCATTTTTTTTTTAAAACTTCCAAAGGCACATTAAAAGAAAATTGAATATCAAAAAGATAACAATAAATCTATAAATGAAAGAGAGCAGTTCAGTAGTGTTGAAAAGTTACTCCTGCACTGGACACAATTGGGCTCATAAAATTACGCAGAATTTGACAATTAGTCGTAACTTTCCTAATGGAAAAATTTCGCGAAATTGGCTAATTTTTAAATATTTAAAGTATTTGTCTGTTTTAAAATTTAGCGAAATCTTTATAAAATATCGTAAACAGGGTGTCCTAAAATTATTGGGACGAACTTTAAAGGGAAGTAGGAGACATCACAAGGATTCAGAGCTGAATAGCACCCCAGGGTCGGAAGCGTCATGGGAAAGTAGTAAGACAGGTATAAGAAACAAAGAGACACAAAATAGAGATCATCTGAAATATTTATTGGTCAAAGATTTTACATTTGCCTGCCATGTGCTGTTGTAGCTGATATGTGAAAATGTCACAAAAGATGTTCAACCTTTTCATAATGCGTTACACCGTTAGGCCTTAAATTGTTGAACTCGATCAAATACTCCTGGATTCTGTTGTATATCCACAGCAGCACAGACGATTCTTGAAACCAGATCCATATCAGAATTCATATGTGCACAGCACTTATTAGTGCGCCCCAAAGAAATAAATCCACGCTGTTTAAATCAGGAGAGCGTGGTGGCAAAGGGAACCAGTCCACCATACTCTCTAATGCTCTTGTGAACCATACCACCTAGCGGCGAACGAAGACATTTTCGACCATGGGTTGCTACGCACATTTGAATCTTTGTGATGTTCCCTACTATCCCTTAAAGTTTGTTCCAATTGGGAAACCCTGAGTTTAACGTAAAAGATTTTCTTCGAATTTAAGGTACTTTAACCTTGACTTTTTCTATCATAGGCTGGGTTAAAGTAACTTTCAACAAGCTTTAAATAATTTTTTATTTTATTTATTTCTTTGGAAAGATAGAGAACATATTCCCTTGAGACAAGACAGACTTCAAAAAAAACTTTTAAATAAATTTTATTCATTAATTCTTTATTTATAATTTTTTCATTAATTATTTTTTTTACTGTATTATTATTTCTTTTAGACAGATTGAGAATACACACCCTCTACAAGAGAGGCTCATTGTTTTAAAAAATATTTAGCAACAATTTGCATTTATTCGATAGATTTTGGTATGCAGTACGAAAAACTGTATTTATCTATTAAATAAGTGAAGTAGTGCTGTTACCAGTGGAAGCTGAAGACGAAACTACAGAGGGACATGAGCCTGAGTGAGGTGGTTTTCCCGTTGAGCTAGGCGTCAATGACCTCTGTTGTTGCTGTCCATCTAATAGAGGAGCTCTACTTTGTGCTGGACTAGGAGGAATCGGAAAGTGGTGAGAAAGTAGGGGAGTAACTAACTTTTCGCCAAAACCCCCATTAATTTGGAGGCCGTTTCCAAGAGCTGTTTGAGTCAAGTCTGGTTGAACAGGTATAACATCTGAAAAGAAACATAAAATTCATTATTGATCTCTACACAGAATAAAATTATAAATCTATGTGTTTGTTTGCGATACACTGTCTGACGTCGAGTATCCAGACATCTACCTAAAATAGAGTATCAGGCCAGTCATTTTCGTGGTTTATCCTAGGATCTTTACAGTGGTTGGAAACATTAATTCTTAGATGTATGTGGACATTCTGAACCATGAACTGTGTTCTTTGGGCTCTAAGGTAATTATTTCGGAAGATTCATTTCTCTTCCAGATGATTCAACGTTCTGCTCACACATCGAAACTTATGCAGTGTGACAAAAAGTGGGTGTTCAAAAACTGGATCTACCCACAATCTAAATTTCATAGAACACTTTAAAAAAATTGGATAGCAGATAGTGTAGCCAGCCAAATTGACGATTCTCATTGCCAATACTCACTTTATATGAGTGTTACGCATGGTAGTCAATTCCTATGGTTATCACCTATCAAAAACTAATGGAAAAATGTCCCGAGACGTGTGCAGGCTGCCATCGATACAAAAGGGTAACTAACATGCTAAATATAATATTTTTTACTTATTTTGACTTAAAGTAGTATAAAATAATGAAAAAGTATGAGAAATGTGCTTAATAAAAATTCTGCGTCAAAGGGTTAAGGGATAAAAGATGCGCTAATATCTCAAATTATGTTTCATATGGGCGACTTGTCGTTACTGCACTAAGATATTATTAGGTAATTGTCTCATATTAGCGACTTAAATTATTCTTTTTAATTGTATTGTATTTTGGTACACTTCTGTAAAAAAATTAAGCATACTTTTACCATGGGTATAAATAGACAATTTTGCTTAACTTTTGACACTAGTGTAATAAAAACCTGCAAGCTTATATTTTCTCAGTAGAGTTTCTGATCCACAAAGCTCGACAAAACTGCGAAGTTCATGGTTGAATTAAAAATAAGATAAATTAGAAAAGCAATTACCATTTTTTAATTACAGAGAACCAGTATTTATGCTAGTGATAGGTCATGATACGAAAAAAAAATGTAATCTGAATCAAATACCATTTCCATTCTTTTTTATTCACCCTCCATTTTGAAGTGACCAAAGAAGAAACATAAAAAAAAAGAACATTAAAGCAAAGAGTCAAAATGCAACTTTGTTTCGGGCTCTTAATTAGTGGCAAAACATTCGTGCCTGGATTTCTTCAAGGGGCACCACCCTAACATAAGAACTAATTCTCGTGTAACATTTAATCCGGCTTTGTTGAAAGGCGTTGGGCAAACATAGTGACATCGCATTTCCTGTTTTCATTTCGAACAGGCAAGTGATTCGATTTCTGGTAACATAGTCGAGTTAACTGGATTGTGAAGGAGAAATAGGCTTTGATTTCAGGCCTCCGTTGTTTAACCGACGGGAAAGGGGCAGTTCTCTGTTACTATCCAAAGGCGTCTTAGTTACGAACGTAACTCGAACGGAATGGGGGGAATCGAACTCATTAAATGAATTGTTCCTACGGGATTTTGACGCTCAAGGCGTTTCCAATTTCTGGGAGTAACATGGCCCGTGATGTAATAAATACCTTTGTTTCCGTCAAAAGAGTAAAATAAAAATTGCAGATATTTTCAGAACGTTTAAGGAATAACGTCGTTTGTATGATGACAAGAAATGTGTAGTAGGTGTAGAAGTATTTCATATTGAATGCTCCGTAATGGACAGAAAAGCTTTTTATTATTTTTTTGAAAAGTTGAAATTATTTAATTTTTGTTTTCTAGAGAATACGAATTAAAGCTTGTAAACAAGTACGAAAATTAAACAATAACAAAAACAAATAACTTTAAGAAATTATCTCCAAAATGATTCAGAAAAATACTGCATAGCATATATTTTTTTTCTTCAAAATGATGCTGATAGACCATGCTAAAAAAAATAGTCCAATGTTTTCATTCAAATTTACTAAAAGTACCGCGACAAAGTTAAACTAAACTGGTGATCTTTTGGTATAAAAGATAAAAAAAAGTGTTCTTTTTCAAAAAATTCTAATAATTTTTTTCTGTTATATACTGTAAGATAGGTACATAAAATGAAATGTGGAGTTATAGTTGGAATATTGTGAATTCCAACTATGTGTGTCATATAATCAGGTCCAAATTTGGTTATAGTAAAAAATTAATCCTTCCTATAAATATTTTATGTAATACAACAACATCACAATATTATTTACTGTAAATATAAATAACCTATAAATACCTATAAATATTACCTATACATATAACAGCAACACAATATTAGTTACTTTTCATATAGACTATACATCTCTGTCCTGTCGCTTAGATAATACTAGTCTCTGTTGAGAGACAGCAACACAATATTAGTTACTTTTAATGGAAACTACACATCTCTGCCGTGTCGCTTAGATGGAACGAGTCTCTGTTGAGAGACAGCAACACAATATTAGTTACTTTTCATGGAAACTATACATCTCTGCCTTGTCGTTTAGATGGAACGAGTCTCTGTTAAGAGACAGCAACACAATAGTAGTATTAGTTGCTTTTCATGGAAACTACACATCTCTGCCGTATCGTTTAGATAGAACGAGTCTCTATGTTGAGAGACAGCTACAATATTAGTAACTTTTCATAAAAACTACACATCTCTGCCGTGTCGCTTAGATGGAACGAGTCTCTGTTGTGAGACAGCAACACATTAATAGTTGCTTTTCATAGAAACTACACATCTCTGTCGTGTCGCTTAGATAGAACGAGTCTCTGTTGAGAGACAGCAACACAATAATAGTTGCTTTTCATAGAAACTACACATCTCTGTCGTGTCGCTTAGATAGAACGAGTCTGTGTTGAGATAGCAACACAATATTGGTTAATTTTCACAGAAGTTACTCATCTCTGTCATATGTGTGGAGTATTAAAATCTGTTTGCCTTCTAAACCACAAAAATGAGAATTATCGTTTTTTATTGATCCAGAGTTTCAACTTCTTACTTAAATAATAAACTAATTCGGATAATTATGAAGAACTCATCTTGCCAACCGTAACACTACGATTGGCAGATATGTACTCGATCTTATTAAATCTAGATAAATTTACTGTATTTAACAGGCAGTTGCAATTATAATACGATAATGTCAAAAATAAGCAAAGTGAACAATTTAATAGTTCATTATACAACCATTTACTGCTAGTATGACTTTTAAAACTAATACCCTTCTTTGTAATACCTCTTCAGATTACAAGATATCTTATGTAACCCTTTATAAGTCCGAGAAAAGTATCTCTTCTCACCAACTTACATTTAAATTCCATTTATTTTTCCATCTAAGATTTGTGCGGCCACCAGCTGATATGAACAGAAAATACAATAAACAAATAAATACGAATATAGGTCCTTGTTTGTATAAATGTGGGTACCAGTGAAGGTTTGTTCGGGGTCAAGAAGAGAGGCCAAGACTGAGGAGCTGTTTTCCTTCGTGGGTTATGCATTTGTTTATGTTTCATGGAGTTTATTTGTAGTTATAAACAAAGATTTATAAATTTAGTCATTTATAAGCATATAAGTGTAAGTTTATGGCCATTTCTCTATGGTAGGCAAAATTTTGAAAATCCTACTACTTTTCCACCAAAAAAAAAAGACATTTAGGTTTCTAGTGGAAACCTGCATTTAGGCTGAATATCATTTCATTCAGTATTCGTCAGAATGGTAGATTTCATAACTTAAAATACTTTAAAAGGCTTTTCAAAGGATTGTAATACACGTCGTATATCAAGATACATATTTATAAAAAATTATTTTTAATTAGCACCAAAATATTTTAAAATCTGTCATACACACATTTTATTTATTTATTCTTTAATTTTCGATATTTCAATTAAATATTTTTGAATCAATATATAAAGAGTCAAAGGACAGATGATCTGCAGGGAAACTATCCTCACGGTTCCTTTCTTTTACAGAATCAATTACTGCCAGTTTTCGATGCAGTGAATCACTGGTATTTAGTGGAACATCTTCCGATATGGCTCCCTCTCCCCCAAGGGTAAAAGGGGACACCGGGGCATTGGAATGGAATTGTCTTGTTCTCTTCCAATAGACAAGTTCGTGGCATCTCTCGAATCCCATCAAAAGAATCCCCCCAATTCTCTTATCCTAGACTAAATCTTAACAAAATCAATTTTGAAACTTTTATTCCACAATTTATACTAAGCTGGAATTCCAGAAATCAACAATAAGCAATTCATTTACTTTTTTGCTCCTCTTTGGAATTTGTTACATTTGGATTTAATAATGATTAAAATAACTTAGGCGATTACTATCATTTAAAAATAAAATACAAAAAAATATTTAAAAATAAAAAACATATAAAAACTTTTGTCCGATCTCTTGGGATCATATTGTCAGCAAAGAATTCAATTCAGTACAAAAACAAAAACAAATGTAAATTTCTTCAGAGAAAGTGCATTTATGATTCCAATTTCGAACTCTAAAATATCGTTTGCACTAAGTAATTAGTATGCTCGAAGTTACACAAGAAATCATGAAGTTTGTGTCCTAATAAGTGAAATCATTCGATCAAAAGTTATTCAGGGTGGTCCATTTCTTTCTTTGGTGTATTGTACATGTTTACTGATGTGCCATATAAAGTTACCTCAAATGGCATATAAATTATGCTAAATGTCAAATAAATTATGTTAAATGTCATATAAAAATATGCCAAATGACATATGCTAAATGGTAAGTAAGTTAAAATGTAACTCTCAGACCGTTAGTCATGGCTTTTTCCTAACTTAAATATGTAGGCTTTTTTATATTGAAAAAAGTATATTTTCTCAACATTATTCAGTGGTTCGTATAACATAGAAATTTTAAAAGTAATTTTACCCAGGAGCTAGAAAAATTAGAGGATTTTAAAAGAATTAGTCAAGCAAAAAGTTATTAGGATTTTTTTGATAATTAAATAATGAAGAAATAAAAATACAAGACAATAGGATTTTT